AGGCAATTATGACAGGAATCTAACCCTAACCTTACCCCTAACCATAGAGTTAGGGTTAGGGAATTGCCAAAGTCCCAAAGTCCTGAATTGCCGAATTGCCGAAGTCTTGAATTTCGGAAGTGCTGAACCAAATCGAAGGGCCGAATTGCCAAAGTGTCAAATTGCTGAAGTCCCGAATTTCGGAAGTGCCAAACCAAACCAAATGTTTTGCCCATGCACATCCCTAGGGTTTATTGCACTTATACTTTGTTGGTCCATATTAATTCTGATGTAGACATTTATTGCTTGATTTGGAAAGATACTCAGTGATTTGCTAGTAGTCCTTGCCTATTTAAAATTTAGTGTTGTAGCAAATGCTATTTACTAGCATGTGTAACTTTGCATTTATACCAATTAGTAAAAGTAAAAGGGACTTTAATCAAGACTATGTATTTTATTTAGAAACATTGTTTTACAAAATTGACCTTATAAATTCATTACCCTCAATCCAGGTCATGAGGTGGAGGAAGAGGGATGTCCAGTATATCATAATATCATGGTGTGATTTACCTCCCACTTATTTATTTTTAATAGAGCAAAATGATGGTGTCATAGCCTGCCATCTAATTACATAATAGTGTCATTGACCCCAGCATGTGTTTATTAGTTTGTCTTTCACTTTCCTCAATGCTGAGCCAAAAAGTGTTAATATTACGACAGGACACATCTCACTGACCCCATCATGTTTTTTGTTTTGTTTTGTTTTTGCAAAACTATTTTTACTATTTATAGCTGTAATAAAAGACATTGTGTCACTGTTTGCAGGTATAAAATATAGATTTTTGTGGTCTCTTGCTTCTTATGAACCTAACTTTTTGTCGCTATTCTATACTTTACCTAATGTATTTTCACAGACCTCTATTTTCTCCACACTCAGTACTTTGTGACTGTAAACATTGCTTCTACTTTATATTTTCATCATACCAAGGTTCTCCTTTTATTTCAATGTGTCTAATTATTTGGTCCCTGTTTATATACTTAACAATGTTCATTTTGCATGAAATTGTAAAGTTCTTTGGATAAGAGCTCTATGTAAGAAAAGATGTATAAATACATAAATAATGGACTTCCTTATGATGATCAAAGTCAGTGTCAGTGCTCAGGAACAGTGCAATTATTCAAGATTTTTTTATTCTTGACATGGTTACAGCTCTATTGAAATGCCAAGACACTGGCTGGTCAAGCTGTGCTCATGTGAATTTATACTGTCAACTAACTTGCAGTGTTCGTGGTCTGTATCTTTAAAAGCCTAATATGTGATATAAGATTTTTACATCAAATAAATCATCATTAAAACCCATTAAATTGTTCATAATTTCTCAGAGGATTTTAATTACTGGATAATAGTGCTGACTTGTTTATTCAAGAAATCTGGATTAAGTCAAGTATATAAGCTTTACCATGTTTCAGATATGTTTCTTAAAGGAACACTATTGAGTTATTAATACAAATATGTATTCCTAACACTATAGTGTCCTTCTGTCCCCATTGGCCTCTTACCCACCCAGCCATGTAAATGGTTAAATAAATTAAACATGTACCTGATTCCAGTGCCAAGTTCCCTTAGCACAGGGTCGGGCTCCTCCTCCAACATCAGCCAATGTGGGGACCTATGCTTTCTTATGGGGTTTTTTAAGACGCTGGACGTCCTAATGTAAAACGTTAAGATGTCCAAAGTCGTTCCATGGAGCTGTCCGATAAACAGCCACTAGAGGCAATCTTAACCTCTTAACCCCTTCACGCCGTTACGGCATTCTATGCCGTCCTGCAATAAGTGGGCTTTGAAGCCATTGCGGCGGCATAGAACGCCGTAACGGCTTTGAGCCCTGGAGCTCCCGGGATACTTACCTACCCGGCACTCCGCTTCGGGAGGACAGCCTCACAGCCCAGACAGCCCTCCCACGGCAAATGAGGCCCCCGGGGGCCATGTGATCGCTCTCAAAGAGTGATCACATGGCCCCCTATAGCTGGCTGTGGATCTGCCAGCAGGGGGACTGTCTGAAATGTCAGACAGTCCCCCTGCTGGTGGGAAAATGTAAAAAAAAAAAGAATTAAACATGTTATAAAATAAAATAAATATATTTATAAATATATAATATATGCATATATATATATATATATAATATATATACATATTATATAAATGTAACGTCATACATAATGTATTTTAATATTAATATAAGTATATATATATTAGTATTAAAATACACTTAGAATGACGTTACATATATATAATATAATAGGGTATTATATATAATAGATATATACACACATATATATATATATATATACGTATAATTACAATAATAAATAAATAAAATAATAAAATTAATAAATAAAATATTGAAACAAAATTTTATATAAATTATATATTCATATGTAATTTCATTCTAACTGTATTTTGTTATTAATATATATATATATATATATATATATATATATATATTGGTAACAAAATACACTTAGAATGACATTCTATATATATCTATCTATATATAAAATACAAATAACCGCAAATATATATAGAGATAAATACATATAATTACATAAAAACTTACATTAGTATACACGTAGAATTTAAATACCTATAAATGCATTTATATATTAAAATTCTACGTGTTTATTTAAGTAATCTTTTAACATAATTATGTGATTTGATTAATTCAAATTTGATTGACATGCCTGACAACACAGGGAGAAAGTGCAGAGAATTTAATTCGCAAGCACTATATTTGACCCTGTAACTCTCCAAGACACCAAAAAACCTGTACATAGGGGGTACTGTTTTACTCAGGAGACTTCGCTGAACTCAAAAATTAGTGTTTCAAACTGGTAAATTGTATTACAATGATGATATTTTAAGTAAAAGTTAAGTATTTTGCATTGTTTACAAACGAACGGCACTTTTATGGACTATATTATTGATGTAATATGTTTTACTGTTTTAAAATACTAATATTTGTGTTTAGTGAAGTCTCCTGAGAATAACAGTACCCCCCCATGTACAGGTTTTATGGTGTTTTGGAAAGTTAGAGAGTCACATATAAGGCTTGCATTTCATTTTTTTGACATTGAAATTTGCCAGATTGGTTATGTTGCCTTTGAGAGCGTATGGTAGCCCAGGAATGAGAATTACCCCCATGATGGCATACCATTTGCAGAAGTAGACAACCCAAAGTATTGCAAGTCGGGTATGTCCAGTCTTTCTTAGTAGCCACTTAGTCACAAACACTGGCCAAATATTAGTTTCTTGCTTTTTTTCACACAAAAACAAACATGGACGCTAACTTTGGCTAGTGTTTGTGACTAAGTGGCTACTAAAAATGACTAACACACATCTATATATTCTGTAATTATTAATTTTAAATTTTTAAAAAGAATTTTTTTTAACGTATTTACATATTTTTTTATATTATATATAAATATGTATAACAATAATTATATATATATTTAATCAGTATCAGTCTACGTGTAATTTGATATTGATATATATATATATATTTATATATATATTAATAGTAAAATACACCTAGACAGTGTATGTGTGTATGTATATGAGTATATATATACTTAGATCATATATATATATATATGATATATATATATGATCTAAGTATATTATTTTTTTTACACTGATTTTAACATTATTTTATTTTATTTCCAGCCAGCAGGAGGACTAACTGTCATTACAAGCAGTCCCCCTGCTGGCAATGTAGCTGCCAGCTAACCCGGCCATGTAATTGTGAGGTCCTCGCAAGGACCTCACTCTCACATGGCTGGGGGGGATCGGAGGAGGCAGGGTCCGCCCCGGGGGACTCCATGGGATCCCAGGTGAGTCTCCCCAACCGTGATCATTGGCGTGGGATCGTCGGTGTGGGATCGCCGGCGACCGGATAAGTAACAAAAAACTGCAAAAGGAAGTAAAATGGGGGAAAGAGTAGGACAAGTGCCCTGCAAACAAATGTGGATAGGGAAATCACTTAAAATAACATAAAATACATACAAATTAAAACTACAACTGAGCCATAAAATAGCATTAGATGGAATCTTTGATTTTAGCTTTGGAAGAACATAAATCAAAATCTAAAGCATGGCTGTCAGGAGGATCACCAGAATTATCCATTTGAGGGTTGGAGTGCAGGGTATTCTCTTTCATTGTTCAAACTGAGCTCAACTCCTGATGCATGGAGAAAAGGCCTTCACAAGCCTCTGCTATTGTGTACAGTTTATACTACGTGACCCATAGGTTGAGGCAGGGCCGTCTTTAATAATGAATGGACCCTGGGCAAGTGTTTGCTTGGGCCCCCTGTGCCCTGCCGCTCTCGCCCCTCACTCCCTGGTATGCAATCACGGCATCCATCCCAACGCAGTGGCGGTACTAAAGTAGAATGAATTTTATTGGGACCCCCAATTGCAAGGTTGGACTAAAGGTAGAACCCCATCTGTCGTGCAACTCCAACAATGCTTTGACAGCTGGGACTCTACCAATTTCCCATGCTTGCAGGGTTGTATTTAGCACTGAGCCATGTTAGTATGTTTGAATGTAAGCATGTGTTTGTATGGAGTATGTTTGTGTGAATGTGTTTGTATGTGGTACTGGAGTTTGAATGCAAGTGTGCATTTATGTGTAGTGTTTGTTTTTGAATGTTAGGAGTGTGCTTGTATGTAGTGTTGACGTTTCAATGCAGGAGTGTGTTTTATATGTAGTGTTGAAGTTTGAATGGAGGGGTGTATTTGTATTTAAAGTTGCGGCTCAGATGCACAGGTACACACTCTGACGCACAAGCAGATACACAGATACATACACTGACTACATACAGATAAACAGGCACATACACTGATAGACACACTGACACAGGTACATATATTGACACACACACAGACACATACACTGGTAGACGTACTGACAGACATACTGACACAGGCACATATACAGACATACTGACACACAGACACATATACCCACATACTGACACACACACACACAGACACATACACTGATCAACATACTGACACACATACACTGACAGAAATACTGACACCCACACACTGACAGATATACTGACACCCACATACACTGAGAAATACTGACACACACACACAGGCACATGCACTGACACACACAGACTGATATACTGACACACACACACACAGACAGATATACTGACACATGCATACACATGCACTAACAGACATACTGACGCACTGACAGACATACTGACACATACACATACTGACACACACAGATATACACACATATATATACTGACACAGACAGACAGACATACTGACACACACACAGACATACTGACACACACACAGACATGTTGACACACACACAGACATGTTGACACACACACACATACACTAACACACACATACACAAACACACAGATACACTAACACACAAACACACACACCCAACACACATACACTAACACACATACACCAACACACATACACACACACTAACACATACACACACACACTAACACACATAAACACACACATACATACACTAACACACACATACACTAACACACAAACACATACACTAACACACACAAACACACACACTAACACACACACTAACACACATACATACACTAACACACAAACACTAACACACACATACACTAACACACACATACACACACACACATACACACACACACAAACACATACACAAACACACACACTAACACACACACACACTAACACACAAACACACATTTTTTTTTTTTAAATGTAATCCTCCCAGCCTCCTTACCTTTTGGAGTGCTGGGGGGATTATTCCCTGGGGTCCAGTGGTGGTGCTGGGCTCCTGGTCACTGGGTGGGTGGGCGGTGCCGTCGGGTAGGATATGGGCGCCGCTGAGGGAGCACTCACTGCTTCCTCTTTCATTCCCTCACAAGGGATACTGAAGATGACGTAATCTTCCGGCTCCGGCATCAGTGCGGTGCGCGAGGGAGCTGAAGAGGAAGCAGTGAGTGCTCCCTCGCGCGCCCGCCTGCCTGACCGGCCACCCGCCACCCGCCCGCCGGGGTCAGCGGGGCCCACGGGGCAGGTGCCTCGGGCCCCCCAAGAGAAACTGGGCCCGGGGCAGCTGCCCCGTTTGCCCCGCGTTAAAGACGGCCCTGCCTGCAGTGCCAGGAAAACGGATTGTTTTCCTGTCACTGGAGTTTCCCTTTAAGTAGTTGATATCTGTAAAAGCAGTGCTTAGTTTTACTAGGCTACAAACATTGGGGGTTAATGAGGTTAGAAACCTGATGGTTATTTGTAACCACTACAAGCTACCAGCTGTTGCTCGTAGCTACAGTTTATGACAACTATTTACTGCCAAGATTGTACACGAGCCCCAAATGTCATGTCTTTGGATGGTTTGATACAATACTTTCACTACAGCATTACTAGAATTTAATTCCAAGTTGATATTTTTGACTGGATACGATCATCAATTTTGTTTTTGTGTCTTTAACTATTTATTCCAATCTGGTATATATATATAAATTTATATTTTGGCAATAATGCCTTTTTTCCATAACTTGGAAGCAAATTACATATTTATGTCTGCCTATTTACATTTCATTTTTATCTGTGTGGCTTTTAAGAATAAATAAAATTATAAATACCAGAGAGATTCTATGAATTCAGAGATCAAACTGTTGGTAAATATTCCCTTGTGATAATGCAATTTTGTGGTGCCTATCCAGATACCTTTGCATTGATGGTCTTACAATCTTTCACCTTGAAATAAGTTGTAGATAATCAATAAGTAAAGAATTTTGAAGAACTGACAAGATAATTGCAGTTTTTAATCAGCTATAGCCATGGTGAAAATTAACAGGATGGAATATTTCCAATTAAATATATATTGGACTACAATGAATGGCTCCACTGTCAATTATCCACAATTCCTAGTAATTATTTCTAAATACAATAAAAAGCATTAAATATTTTTTTATTTTAACATTTAATATTAAGAAATGTGCCAGCCCATATGCTATTGAGGTGAAATGCAATTTATACGCCCTATTCTCCTTTGTTTATTATAGATGAAAAATCCTAAGGCTAGCACTTTGTTTTTGCTGTGTGTTATTAACTCATAATTTACCTTAAAAAAACAACTTTAATTACTACTTGAAACAATAATGCAATAAGACATGATTGTGGTTGAAGTAGATCCAGTTAAGGCTTGAGATACGATAGATGGGGAAGCTGCTTCCTAAATCAATGTAACTATTTCTTACACATCTAATTTTTCAGCAAAGAAAAATGGTACCTTAGGATATGACCAAGATAAGGGGCTGAGAAAATTAAGACTGAGAAACAAATTGTTCCTACTTGTCCAGATATCCATTTCTGTCAGAGTCACAATCGTACAAACAGCACAGTCTTGTGTGCAATTTTGAGTTAACAAAAAATAAAGCAGAATGTGCTGCACAAACCTTCATATTCAAATTCAATGATCCTTTTATTGGCACCTTAATTAAAGGATCATTGAATCTGGAGGGTTGTGCTGGATTTCTGTTTTCTTCTGTGACTACTCCTTTGGTTTTGGCGGGAAGTCTGTGCACTGTTGTGTTGGAAAAAGTCCTCATGATAAGTTCTATTCAGTTTTGAGATAACATATATAAAAACAAAAAATTGTGCCATATAATTTTTTTCCAATAATTTCTGGAAGAAGATTTAACAATGTATGCTAAAATAGTCCTATGTTTTACTGAGCTTCCAACCATTAGCTTGCCTTTTTACTTAAACATTTAACTCATATATATCCTGAAAGGTAATTGGTTGATGGACGAAAGAATGCTGGGTAAAAAATGCCTTAGTACATTTGTTTTTATAAAGCTGTCAAGCAATGTTATTAATATGATTAATAACTTGAGATAGAGGCAGTTGCCGTATTATATAGATGAATTTTCCATTAGATTATATGTAATCTATAGCTTAAATCATATATTTATTTTTAGAAAATATTATTGGGCAGATTGCACTAGTTGTATTTTTGTTTTTAGAATTCTTAGGTGTATCTTGTATACTTTTTTGAAAGAAAAATCAGCAATTCAGCATTTTAAAAAGGGAGTTAAGAATAGTGTGTGACAACATTGCTATTTTTTTCCCCCAAGTGTAACAAAATTTGCCAATTTGAGTTGGACATTCTGCTATCTATTAGTAATATTATATATATATATATATATATATATATATATATATATATATATATATATATATATATATATATATATATATATATATTCTATTTTGTGTTTCATCTGTTAAATATCAGGGATGCCTTGCAATTATCCAACTATCTAGACTAAATGTAAAAAAAAAATCTATTTCCTGGAACATAAACATAATATTTCTCTCATTTATAAAACTGATGTTTTTTTATTTTTTATTTTTTTTTAACACGTTTCCCTTTAAGATAACATAAAATATTACCAAGTATCTTGTCTGTATCATGGCAATCTGTCACTAGTGAGAAATATATGTGATTATAGTACATTATTTTGATCATAATTTTCGAAACATGTATAATGCCTTATTTGTAGTTTGACCTATTATTATGTTCAAAAGATTGTGACATCTTAGACAGGACCAATGGTATTTGATGTGAAAAACTTACATTGAAAAAGGGCTTGAGACAATAAGCAAAGGCAATGCTTTATAGTAGTTACTCCACAAGGGAATTGTAAGAGTATAGTCCACAACCGATTCATAAGAGCACTAAAAAGCACAATAGAAAATCAAGAGCTCTTTAAAAAGAAATCAACATCCTATACAAGTCAGCACAAAGATATCTGTACAGCATAAAAATCATAACAGGATCCACAGAAAGTATAACATGTAATAAGACTAGAGAAAGTCATTTAGATTAGACGACTTATAAATTGAGAAGGCACTTTGTCATCCCAGATAAGTTCATGGAAAAATTATTGTAGCTGATAAGCAGCTGTCAGAAATTGGATTAACTTGTAACTTATTCTTCTGGCTTTCCCAATGTTATCTGAACAACCATTGGGAGAATATGTTTTTATGCCTTGAAGCTGCTCATGTGGATCATTTTCACCGTAAACGTATCTGGAACCAGTGAAAGAGGTTTCACATCCACTACTTGGAATTTCTTAAACAGTACTTACACATGCTATTTAAGGATATATATGATAGTTACTTATTTTTTTTCTTGAAATCCAGTTAAATATATACATCCACCAAATTATTAATACACATATACATCAACAAGTACACACAAAAACACATGTATAGTGCAGGGAAATTGCAAAAGATAATTGTGGAATGAAAAAAGGCTTATCTTTCACAAATAACAGAACCCCAGTCATTAAAATCTCACAAGGAATCGGTAGAACAATTAACCGCTGGTTCTGAATTTTGAAATGAAAAAAAAAATAAAATTAACTTTCCGGGACTTTTTCTTAATACAGTAATCTTTATTGCCTAGATCCATCAAAGGGGACAGGTCAAATTTTAGAACTATGGGTGACCCACATGAGCGTAGTTCTATTGCCTGCTATATGGAGACTGGGTTTATCATTGATTGATTTATCATGGGTTTATCAATGGCATGAAAGCATTTGAAACAAGATCAAATTCAATATAGTTCAGTGATAGTGATACACATAATTTATTATTTTTTTCCAAGAAATGTTGACTGTTGGCTTAATATTTAATTTCCTCACTCTTTTTTCCTTTTTTGCTTTCAGGATAAATCAATAAACTATGGATTGTCAGGAATCAAACGTGCATGTCAAATTGTAGGTCAAACATTTGAATAATCCTGCATGTCTTTTTTTTTTTTAATCTCTTTCTTTGTTGTCCAATTCTTCCATCCTCCATTTTGTCAGGATTACTAGTTGATCCAGCACGTAGAATTGTGTCACACAGATGACTAATAGGTAACGTATTACCGGGCCTTAGAATGGCCGGACTTAACGTACCAAAGAATAGTCAGGATACTTGCCGAGGTCAGGGGATACAGAAAGAGACACAACGATAAGAGAAAGCCAGAAGTCAGGGATACAGAATACAGAGAAGTAAAAATCAAAGCCAAAGTCAAAAACCAGAAGAAACTTGAATCAGGAACGCGTTCTCGGACAACCACAAGGGAAACCACGACAGGGCACTGAGCAGGATGAGAACTG